ATGACTACACAAGTAAATATAGAATAAAAACTGTACAAATGATTTTTTAACGCTTTTCTTTTCTTTCCTGATTTAAAAGACGATTGCCTAAAGAAATCATTACAAATCTGTGTTAATGCAGTTATAAAATCCATCCAACAACATTATGAGAAAGGAGTGAGGAAGAAACTGAGTTATATAAAAGCAAAGTTTATATATGACTATTGAAATTTAAGTGTTACTTATCCAAAGTAGATTGTGATATGTTAAGATGTTAATTGCAATCTCCAATGCAACCACTCAGTACACAATTCAAAATAATGTAAAATTAACAATAATAGAATTAAAATGAAATACCAGAAAATTTCTCTTTAACATAAAGGAAAATACTAATGGATAAATACAGGGAAAAAAGAGATGTAAAGCATATAAAAACGAAAGGACAAAATGGCATATCTAAATCCTATAGTCAATAATTACATAAGAAGACATAAATTGACCAAAGGGATTTAAAAAAATTAAAGCATGATCCAGCTATATGCTATCTACAATAAGTTCACTTTAGATTCACATACCTAAAGAGACTGAGAATAAAAGTTTGGAGAAATATGTAGTATGTAGAAAGTACTCACCGTAGAGCTGGTGGACCTAAACTAATATTAGATGAAATAGACTTTAAGACAAACATTTTTATTGTAGACACACACCAGCCAACATCAACTTAGTGGGGAAAGACTGAAAACTTTCCTTCTAGATCAAGAAGACCAGCATTTCTACTTTTGCCGCTTCTTTTTGACATTGTACTATAATTTTTGCCAGAGCAGTTAGGCAAGAAAAAGCCATTAAAAACATCCAGATTGGAAATAAAGAAAGGTACAATTATGTCTGTTCACAGATGTCATGATCATGTATGTAGAATATCCTAAAGAATCCACAGAAACTATTAGAATTAATAAGTTCATCAAGGCTGTGTGATACAAGATCAATATACATAATCAATGTTATTTCTATACACTAGCAATAAACAACCAGAAAATGAAACTAAGAAAACAATTTCATTTATAATCATGCCAGAAAGGATTAAAAACTTAGGAACAAATTTAACACAAGAAGTGAAAATACATACAAAGAAAAGAAATTGTTGAAAGAAAGTAAAGAAGACCTAAGTAAATGGAAAAACTTTGCATTTTCATGGCCTAGAAGACTTAATATTGTTAAGATAGCAACACTCACCAAATTGATCCCTAGACTCAAAACAATATCTATTTCCTTGCTTGAATTGTACAGAAACCATAAAATTCATATAGAAATGCCGGAAACCAAAAATTGATACAAAATGCAAGGTATGTAAAGTAGCCAAAACTATCTTGAAAAAGGGGAATAAAGTTGGAGGAGTCACAATCCCTTACTCTAAAACTTATTAAAAGAATGCTATAATCAAAACTATGTGGTACTAGCCTAAAGACAGACATATTGGTGAGTGAAGTAGAATTGAACATCCAAAAAGAAACATGCATATATGGTTATGACAAGGTGCCAAAACAAATAGACGGGAGAAATAATAGTTTTTTCAACAGATGATACTGGGAGAACTGTATCATTCTCTCATGCAAGGGGATGAGGTTTGAACCTTACCTCACATTATATTCAAAAGTTAATTCAAAATGGATCAAAGAGCTAACTGTAAGAGCTCAAGTTTTTATAATTCTTAAAAGAAAATATAGAGATAAATATTTGTGATATCAGACCAGGCAACGTTTTTTAGATATGACAACATAATTATAAGCCACAAAAGGAAGCAGTAGACAAACTGGACATCATCAAATTAAAAAACTTTGTGCTTCAAAAGACATTACCAAAAAAGTGAAAAGACAACTCATGTAGTGGAACAAAATGTTTCCAAATCATATATCCAATAAAAGATTTATATTTGGAAGATGTAAATAGCTCTTACACTTCAATAATAAAAAGAAAAATAACCCAATTAAATATGGGCAAATGATATGCAAAGGCATTTCTCCAAAAAAGATGTACAAATGGCAAATAAGCACATGAAAATATATGCAACACCATTAGTGTTTGGGAAAATGCTCATCAAATCCACAATGAGATTCCACTTTTCACTCACTAAGATGGCTGTAATAAACTTGACAAACAATAATAAGCATTAGTTAGGATGTGAAGAGATTGGAAACTTTATATATTGCTGTGGCACGAATTCCTCTATTTTTCTAGTTTTGCAAACACATCTGCATTCATATTCTAAAGCTTATTATTTCTGAAAATACAGGGACAAGCAACAGACAAATAGACAAATAATATTTGTAAGATGGTTGCACATCTTTGTGAATGTACTAAATGTCACTAAACTGTACAATTGAAAATGGTGAATTTTGTAGTGTATGAATTATGGCTCAACGAAGCTTCTTTTTCTTTTACAAAAAAAGATCGCAAAAAACTAAAGCCCTTACAATAGTCCAGAAATACCTGCACAATGTACCTTACAATGTTCTAGAAGTACCTGAACCGTCTGCCCCTCATTCCTCTCTCAGCTCATCTGAAGCTTTCTTCTGTTTTGCTGTCTCCTCTCCAATCACACTGGCTTCCCTGGTTGTTCTTCAAATACATTTCCTACACTTTTGTCTTAGTGCCTTTGCCAGGAATATTATTTTCCTACATATTCACATATGTTGGAAATTTTACATCATCCTAATTAAAATGGAAACTCCTAACCTACTTTCTTTGTATATCTTACCATTACCTTTATTTAAAAAAATTATATGGTTTATATTTATGGTGTGGGTCCCTTCCACAATAATATAAAACTTTGTGAGTCTGGGGACATTTTTATCTGTTGATGTATTCCTAAAGCCAAGAACATTGCTTGACACACATAGTAACTTCTCTTTCTGTCTATGTGTACATATGTACAAATAACACATGTTATTTGTGTGTTTGTGTTATTTTTGTTGAATGGATGAATGAAGGAATGGATGACATACCACCTACCCACTCACTTGCTCACGTAGCTTACACTTACTTACCTTCTTCCTATTCCTGAAACATGCTCAGTTCTTTCTTTCTTTCAGGCCTTTATATATTTTTTCCCCTTCATTCTGGTATACTCATCTCCTCACGCTTCAAAATTCCCACTAAGCATTTAATGTGAATCGTTCAGTCTCAGTTGAAATATAATTTCTTTTGAGAGCTCTTACCTGAAAATTCTATTCAAAAGAGATCTCACTTATTGCTCTTTGCTCCAGCTTCCTGTTTGTTTCCTTCAGAGTACTTCTTATGCTCTTAAATTGTTTTGTTTATAATGTGATAACCTGCTTAATGTCTGTATATTAAAACATTTAGTCCCTACTAACAAAGATCAAGAGGTTTGTTTTTTTTCCTGTAGATCCCCAGTGCTAGCAAATCACCTGGAATATAGCTAACACAAAGAATATATTCAAAAAATATTGGTTGAATAAGTGAAGTAAGGGATAAAAAGAGGCAAAGTGTGAAACATCCTTCAACACGTACATCCTGATACACATGCCTGTGTGTGCTCTCCATAATTCCCTCTTTGGGCTTTGGTCAAGAAAAGTGTGATAACCTTGCTACACATAGAATAAATTAGGCCTTTCAATATAAAGGCATCTCTGGTATGAGAGTTATATAATACTAATAATGCTTATGATAAGAACAGCCATTATGGAAAACAGTATAAAGATTCCTTAGAAAACTAAAAATGGAATTATAGTATGATCCAACAATCCCACTTCTGGGTATATCTGTAGGGAATGAAATCACCACCTCATAAAGATATCTACACTCCCATGTTCTTTTTTTTTTTTTTTTGCAGCAATATTGACAACAGCCAAAGTGTGAAATCAACCTAAGTGTCCATCAAAATATAAATGGATACATAAAATGTGCCATAGATACACAATGGAATACTCTTTAGCCATAAAAAGAACAAAATTTTGTAATTCACAACAACATGGATTAGTTTAGAGGACATTATGCAAAATGAAAAAAGCCAGGCATGGAAGGGTAAATACCACATGTCCTCACTCATATGTGGATGCAAAAAAGTTAATCTCATAGGAGTAGAAACTAGAATTGTGGTTACTAGAGATGGCGAAAGGTTTGGGGAAGGGAGGATAGCCAAGGTTTGGTTAACAGGTACAAAGCTGCAGCTAGATAAGAGGAATAAGTTCTAGTGTTCTGTAGCACTAAAGAAAAACTGTAATCAGCAATATTCATTGTATATTTTCAAGTAGCTAGAAGAGCAGATTTTGAATGTTCCCAACACAAAGAAATGATACATGTTTGAATTGATGGATATGTGAATTAACCTAATTTGATCATCCCATACTGTATACACGTATTGAAATATCACACTGTATCCATAAGTATATACAATTATTATACGTCAATTAAAAATAATAAAAGTGGGAAGAGAATAGTAAAAATAAGAAAACATTTTCAGGAGCTTACTATTTGCCAAGTACTCTACTGTTTTTCATGGTTTATCTTACTCTCATAAGTAACCCTATGAAGTAGAGGTTATTGTATTCTATACTACATAGGTGAGGGTTTCAGAGGGGTTAAAATATATTGCCCAAGTTCAGGTCTTTCTGACAAGAAAGCCTGTGTGTATATGTCCATGTGTACATGTGGACAAGCAGCTATGGGCATACAGGCCCATGACTCAAATGTATTAGCAAAAATCTTTATTTGATTATTATTTTAATTGAGCCAATGACAACCAAAAATTGCCGGAACGAGTGAGCACTTTTCTGTCTACTCCTTTCCATATGATAAAAATGGTAGATTTACTAGTTTTGCTTTCGTGACTTGTTGAAACCAAGGGAGCATTCTGTAGGTAGCTAATTTTACTTTCTCAGTCCTGAATACTGGCATCGCTGATAATTCACTAAAAGCTCAATGATTTCTTCTTAATCATTTTCAAATTTTAAATGTATTTCTGTGAAATACTTTCTGGAAAAGTTGTGGTTATGGCTCTCAAGAGCATTTTGTTTGCTCTGCTGCTGCCAGTACACAGCATGAAGCTCCTTTTTCAGCGATGTTGATTTTTTAAGGGGTCAGTTCAACCTTCTAAGATGTTGTTTTGTGATTTTGGCACACCTTGTGAGGAGATGGTGTACAGAGACGCAGAGTTGCCCATTATCAGCCGCGAGTCATAACTGCTGTTTGGCAGAGATAAGAAATTTAAACACGTTTCCCAAGGTCTAGGGTAGTTCCAAAGTATTACTTGTTTATTATGACTCAGACTTGTTGATTCAGTAATACAAGAAAGATTTGAAGAAGGCAAATTTCACAGTAAACATTTAATATAGAGGCACCTAACAAATGTAACTCTAACTGATCAGTTGCTCTTCTAATTTCTTACACTTTCTACTCATCTAGAGTCTTGACTTCATGTTGGAAACCTTCTTGTAGCTTGTTCTCCACTTCCAGATGTAACATATTTCTCTCTAAAGTCTTGTCTGACTTCTCCCTGAGGTAATCAAAAGGAAATAAACTAATTTTCTGTCACAGCTAAAAAGGTCTCTGCTTCTCTCCAATAAATTTCTCTCTGTCAGCACAAGGCACATCTCATTTTTTGTTTTTCTCTACCTCCTCTTAGTTTCTAATGAAAATGATCAAATTCTAATAAGTATTAGGCATGCGGTTTTCTTCTTTTTCCCCCCTTCCAGCTGAGGAATCATATTTGTTTCCATTCTCTAGTGTTTGACTTCACCTGCTCACTGTGTCTTCTTGTTGGTTAATGGTACCTTCCTTCTAGTTTCAGGGTAGCCTTACATTAAATGAGAAGAATTAGAAAACACCAGAACTTAAACTTACGTGAGAATTTGTTTGGAATTAAATTGATAATGTTACAAAAAAATTTGTATAACACCATAGATTACTTTTCCAAAGAGTTCTTTATTGGGGTTCCCATGCTTTTCTCATTTTCCTTTGCACTTATAATAGTCTCAGTCAGCTTCTGTTGTTGACCAATAAATTACTAATTCCAGGAGTGTTTACCAGAGCAAAATAAAATAGGTCACGACTAGCAGTGTATCTGCCAGAATGTATCCAGAAGCAATGGTTGAGTCAATCAGATTAAAACAAGTTTGGAGGCTTTTATTAGTCATATGCTACTGAGTTTAGTGTTTTCTTTTTTCCAAAGTTGGGCTGACTCATTGGCATTTTGACCCAACCTCAAAGATAATAGGATAATAAACACAAATATTCAGCCTGTCATATTGTCATGGAATTTTTTAAATGATACAGTCATTACTGGTATAGACATAGTCAAATGACCACTCATACAATGGGTGTGGATTTTAAAGGACAAATTGACAGATTTTTTTTGGCTGACATATGTTCAATGTCCACCATATGCTAGACATTGTGATAGAAATGTGACTTGTGTTATCACATTTAGTTTTCAAAACACGTTCGTGAGTTAGGCACTCTTATAATTCCCATTTTATAGATAAGAAAACTGAGGTTTATAGATGGAAAGTGATTAGCTAAATTTGAAATAATTGTGCATAGCAGACTTAAATACATGCCTACCTGAACCCCATGCTGATACAAGCCTTACTGAGTGTTGGGATTATAGGTGATTTTTAATTTTATTCTCTACCCCTTTATCTACTTTTAAATAATTGACATTAAAAATATAGTATATCTTTTCTTTGTAAAAGATATTCCTCCTGAGTTAAATTTGCTCTGTTTGTAAAGTCAACACCTTTAGATCACCTTTGGAAGTTGGGAGGAATAGTGTACACTCAGAGAGAAAATGTAGCCCTATGTAATGATCAAGACATGTAATAGCATTTTCCATAAAGTCTATCAGTTCTAGCTCTCAGTAGGTTCACAGTCTTGAAAGCCTCCTTGCTTTAGCAGAGGACCTTCTATGCAGAATCTTGTATTGTAGTTAAGTAATTTTTTTCTGTCTACTCTCACCTCCATCACTTCAAAGTGGGTTATGACACATTTTACACCGAAAACATTGAGATCAGAATTGTCCATTTTGCAAGTTTGCTCTTTTTCACCTAAAAAGGGAATCTCAGCATATTATTATTATATTATAATAGAATATTACCCATTTTGTAAAATAAAATCTAACTGCTCAGGATTAAAATGTACAAATTATTTTTTTATTTTAAAAACTCTCATTCAAGGCTGCCCTGTGTATTGCTTAAATGACTGGTACTATAAAAGTTTAACATGTTTTTTTCTCAAGGGAAAGATTTTACTTGCCTGTTGGAAATAGAAAAAAAAAACCACTTTAATTATCTTATAAAATGTTGTTTCATATTTCTGCCTTGTTTTTACAAGTCAATATCAAACTGTTGGTTAGATGAACCTCCATGGGATATTCACATTCTTTTAGGACTCTTTCTTTCTAATTATTTTTCTTAGAGCATTTTTCACATCCCTGTTCCTCAAGGTATAAATGAGGGGGTTCAACATGGGGGTCACAACACCATAAAATACAGAGATAACTTTACCCTCGTCTTGGGATTCTTTTGACTGAGGTGTCAAGTACATGTAGGTGGCTGTCCCATAAAATATGATGATCACAGTCAGATGGGATCCACAGGTGGAGAAAGCTTTGAGTCTGGCCTCTGCAGAGTTGATCCTCAGCACAGAAACCACAATGCGAGCATAGGAGAAGAAGATAAAGGTAAAAGGCAGTGGTAAGGTGAATATGCTGATGACTAGACCCAGGATGAGTCTGCCTGGGGTGTCCGAGCAGACAAGCTTCAACAATTCCTGCAGCTCACAGATAAAATGGTTGACGACATTCTGTCCACAAAAACGGGCAGGAATTGCAATGATTGGTATTACTGCCATAAGGAAGGCACTGGCCCAGGTCACCATGGCCAACTGTATGCAGATCCTGTTGTTCATAATGATGGTGTAGCGCAGGGGATTGGAGATTGCAACAAATCTGTCATAAGCCATGACAGCAAGGAGAAGACACTCTGTCATCCCCAGAAAAAGAGCAATGGTCATCTGGGCATAGCAGCTATTATAGGAAATGGTGCTATAAGCCATTGAACAACAGAAAAGGTACTAAATTGCTGGAGTAGCAAATATCAAGGAAGGACAGGTTGCTCAGGAAAAAATACATAGGAGTGTGAAGCCGCCCATCAACTCTAACCACAAGAATGAGACTGTTACCAACCAATGTGATCAGGTAGACCACTATCATGGTGCAGTAAAAGACAATCTGATATTTTGGATGGTTGGACAAACCCACCAGAATGAACTCTGTCACTTCACTGCCATTATCAATAACCAGAATATCCATTTTGTCGTATCTGCCAAGAAAGAAGAAGGAATTCAATTCATTTTAATTTGAGAGGCAATTATTGAGTATTTGCTATATCCTCAATCTCTATATTGGGTGCTATTATGAAGAGATGTCTACAAAACAAGTGATGCCATTTCAAAGTTTATGTTTTAATTTGGGAGAAAAAACATTCATATACAGCATAAAATTAATTTGCTAAGTAGCACAATCCATTGTGAGTCTTAATTTCTTCATCTTTAAATGAAGGAGGTAGGACTTTACTTTTGAACACTTGTCTTAAAGAAAATATGTTATCAGATTACCAAATCACATAATTGCTAATTATCCTTTCCCACTATGAATATTTGTCTTTTAGGTGATTCACATCAGTGACATAAAACGTGTGCCCAGTTCACTCTCACTTCTTCCTTACAGGGAGTATCCAATCAATCACAGAGTCCTATTGGCTCTTCCTCCTACATATATTTCAAATCTACTTATAAATCTTATCTAGTCAGAGCCATCTTTGTCTCACATCTGGACTAATACATGAGCTGCCCAATAGGTGTCCTTACTTCCATTCATGCTTCTCTATAGTCTGTTTTTCACAGAGCAGCCAGAATCAACTTTAACAAATATTCACAATTATGACCATATCCTGTCTATACTTAAAACCCATTTGAGGGCTTCTAATTGTATTTAAAATAAAATGTAACTTATTACCAAAACTTGCAAGACTCTAAATGATCTGACCCCAACCTTATCTTGCATTGTCTTTTCTTGGGCTCGTCGTCTTCCAGCCATACTGTCTTTAAGAAGCACTCCAAGCTTGTTCATATTTCAGGACTTTTGCACATTGTGTTCTCTCTCCTGGAAATATTCTTCCTTCTCTTTTTTGCTTTGTAAAGTCTTAATAATTCTTGCTATTGTATCTCAGCTTAAAAGGAGCTTTTTTTTTTTAAACTTTAAGTTGCGGGATACACGTGGAGAATGTACAGGTTTGTTACATAGGTATACGTGCGTCATGGTGGTTTGCTACACCTGTCAACTCATCATGGTTTGATGGGGTTTTAAGCCCCGCACACATTAGCTATTTGTCCTAATGCTCTCCCTCTCCTCACCCCAACACCCCGACAGGCCTCGATGTGTGTTGTTTCCTTCCCTGTTTGTTTGTTCTCATTGTTTAACTCCCACTTATGAGAAAACATGCAGTGTTTGGTTTTCTGTTCCAAAGGAACTTTTTAAGAAAAGTCTTCTTTAACAACACCGCTTCTTCCAAATCTACATCAGATGTTTTTGTTACAATTATTCATCGCACCCTGAGCTTTCCCTGCATGCTCCTTATCACCGTTTCTATTTATGTATTGGTGTGACTATTTACTTTCATTTAATTTCTGTATTCTTATTAATTATAAACTTTGGGAGGGAAGCAGCCCTGACTATCCTGTGCACCAGCTTCTTTTCATCACCTCACACAGTGCCTGGCACAAAATATGGGGCCAATACATGTTTGTTGAATGCCTTAGTGCCAGTTATTTGGCTCTTCTGTCTTAACTAATGTCAAGAAATTGATTTGACTGAAAGTGTATTGAATTGGCTGGAGAGAATAAATGTTTGAGAGTGAAAAGTCTATGATAAGAAATAGGATCTCATGTTTTTCAGTCTTATTAATGCCCTGTAGCTCAGAAATTAACTTCAATGCCTTGCCTTCTAAAATTCTACAATTGGCCCTTTGCATGGAGAGAAGGTGGTATAGTGAAGTGAGGAACTGAGGATTATTTTAGATACATAAACAAAGTAGTTTCTTTTTTTTTTTGAGACAGCATCTCACTTTGTCACCAAGGCTAGAGTACAGTGACATGATCTAAGCTTACTGTAATCCCTGCCTCCATGATTCAAGTGATTCTCCTGCCTCAACCTCCTGAGTATCTGGGATTACAGGTATGTGCCACCATGCTAATTTTTGTATTTTTAGTTGAGACAGCGTTTTGCCATGTTGGCCAGGCTGGTCTTAAACTCCTGACCTCACGTGATCCTCCCACCTTGGCCTCCCAAAGTGCTGGGATTACAGGTGTGAGTCACCGCACCTGGCTAGAAACAAAGTGTTTTTTACACCTTTTCATCCATCCAAATTTTTATTTACTTTGTTTGATCTTGTTTTATTAAGTATGAATCCTATCACAGACCAGCTCAGTATTAGTCAAAAATTTTTTCCTGGATATTCTGAAATATCCATCCATCAAGTTCTAGTCACAAATCGGAATATTGGATCTTTATAGTATATAGTTAGGGAAATTCATGAGACAAGTATCAGGTCTTGGTGAGAGCAGACTGTGGATAGAAAGGTTTGTCTTAGGAGCTGGGCAGCAGGAAGTATCATTCAGGCTAATGGCATAGATAATCTTCTTGGATTTTCTACCTAAGACATACACCAAGTCTCAGAAGGCAGAAGACCTTTATGAACAAGTCATTCAGTAAAGAAAGTAATACATTATAACAGGATCTTCAATAAAATTTGATACAGAACAAGGAGACTCTGAACAGGAATTACAACCAAGGTCAGACAATTTGGAAAAAAAAAAAAAAAAACTTAGCTGCTGTGCAACTTCCAACTAAGATTGTTTCTACTCATTACAAAGTCATCCTACAAGGAGATCCTTGGCTTCCTTTAACAAGAATTAGAATGCTCCTTTTTGTTCTGTAGATATTCCCAGAGTTGGGATCAGAAAACAGAATATATCTGAAGGGAAAACGGTTCTTGAAATACAGATATTAGACTGAGACTGAGGCAGAAGTCAGCTGATCTGGCCTTTATGCATTGGTGACACCATAACCCTAGTTTCCGAATGGTGTTACAAGAATGGGATTTTCAGGGTACATACTTTTCAAGGAGTACTAAAGCTTCATATTATAATGACAACATATTGAATCATAAAACCTTAGTTTGGCTTATAGTCCTCACTATCTCATAGTCCTAAAGATCTCAAAAGAAATGCCAGCATAAATTGCTGGAAAATAACACATCTTTGAATGTATGTGATTTAAATGCATCTCACCAGACTAACCATATATTTTTTATTGAATAATTCAGTGTTTTAGCACTGTGCTTGCCAGAATCTTTCTAAACTAACTAGACATATGTAGAGATACCCACACATAAATTCACAGCTTTTTGATTTTTAAGAAATGTTTTGGGTATACTACATGGCTTTTCTTCACACAGCTTTCTCAAAATAGATTTTCCTGATCCCCTCTGCCATGCAAGACAAGAGTGTGCTTCCCACTAGAATTCATTTCATTTTCAATATTAAAATTAGGAGATGTGGAGTATCATCCTTTTTCCCTGAGCTCCTCAGAAAGCTCCCATAAGCACAAAATATACTTTATGAAATGGATAGTGCTTATAGGCAGGAATTTCTATTATCCATATCATGCGGTATAGAGTGGTGGTTAAGAACACGAATTCTGCAGCCATGTTTGAATCCTGGATCTATCACTGATACACTGTGTGACATTGGTAGTTTGTTTCACTTGTTTATACCTTAGTTTCCTCAGTTGTAAAATTGGGATAATTGCAGTATATATATCATAGAATTTTAGTGCTATATATGTGTTATCTACTATTATATCAAAATGAGACCTCACTTAGAAAGAATCACTCATGACAAAGTGAACACATTGGTTGTCTTTCTTTCCTGGAGGGCAGAAAGAAGAATCAATGGGGATACAGATAAGACTATCATCAGATTATACTATAAGCCCTCTGAAAGCAGAATCTACATTTTATTTATTTGTATAACTCTAGTACAAGGCTCAGTTCCTGACACACAGCAGGAAGTCACCGAACATCATTTTTGGAATTGAATTTATTGTACTCACCTGAATAGCAAAAAAAAAAAAAAAAAAAAAAAAAAAAGAAGACAAAAAAAATTGACTAAGCTCTCTAAGAGTTGTGTTCAGATAACCCTTTGTATATTGCAGCATCGTCAGCTCACTGAGGTGTTAGAGTCTTTCAAAGGGAGTGAATTGCCGTTGTATTGTGGGAGATCCATGTCAAGACTGACCATTCCACATATTCATGCTGATTTGTTCCAAGAGACAAATACAGCTTCTTTCCTTCTTGCCAGGGTATACGATTCTTCACTTGCTTTCACAGCGGGTTGTGCCTTGATTTTTGCTCAGCATTTTAAGAACCAATGGTTCCAAAATATGAACAATAGAAGGAGAGAACAATCGTGAACATTTTCTGATGCTACCTTCTGAGTTTATTCATTTTGGCTTCAACAAAGCAGTTTCACTGAAGAGACTTCAGGGACCAGGTCTCTAAAAGGCAACTAATTTCCACTACTGAGTTGAAGGTGTATTTCATTTGGGAGTGTTATTTCTATGTCATTAAATTACATGTAGCTTGTGCTCGCTAATGCTAAGACTTCATTAGTGACTGTGATGAAATTTTGACTAACATTGTCAACTCTATTTCTGCTCTGAAGTTACCTAGGAGTAGGGGCTTTCCTAGGATAATCGCTGAGTTCCGTGTTTCTTGAGAGGGTTCTCAACATGACTCAAGGGGGCAGTGAGTGTTCTCAGCAAACTAACACAGAAGCCGAAAACCAAGCACCTCATGTTCTCACTACTAAGTGGGAGTTGAATAATGAGAATGCAAGAACCCAGGGAGGGGAACAACACACACTGGGGCCTGTTGGGGGGTGGGTGGGGGACAAGGGTAGGGAGAGCATTAGGACAAATACCTAATGCATGTGGGGCTTAAAACCTAGATGACTGGTTGATAGGTACAGCAAACCACCATGGCACATGTATTCCAGAACTTAAAGTGAAATAGTAATTAGAAAGAAGATAATAAATGAATGAGGTGGGGAAAGTGGCCACTATCTATTGAGACTCTATGAAAACTTTCAATTAAGTATTCAGGGAAATAAAATTCTGCAAACAGTGTTTACTGGAGATCTCCTGTTTCTCTTCACTTTCCCTCAGCGTCCCCCACTTCATCTCAGCTGTCTTTGATTTGAATAGTTTCTGGAAATCCCAATTTTTCCCAAAGCTTTCCTAGATTAGTTTTGCGGTACCATGCAAACCGTCACTAAGTATAATCCTGCACCCTTTCATTCACTAACCTGTTAATTTATTACATCTATACATATCTCTAACAAGAATAGTATTATTTATTGATTTCTTGTCCAGTTTGTGCTCTGAATACATGATGCACTTGTTTATTATTTTTATGTGTATGCTTGTTAAAATTCCCAAATTAGTTATCCAGATTTTACAGGTTAGAAGCAAGGTATCTTTGCAAAGAATCTACCTGAGTGCTACTCAAAATGTTTGCAGTAGGGACAGAATTGAGAGAAAACATTTAGTAACTATCAAAGTGATTTTGTATCGCTGTGACATTATTATTATTATTTATCAAATATCAGCCTGCAACAGCTTGGAAATTTAAAAAAAGCTGTCCTTTACCACAAATTGTTTGAGAAACATTGTGAACCCTTACATTTAATTAATTCTTATTATGCATCCATTCTGTTCCAGGAACTATGCTAAAGAGACAGAGCTAAACAAAGCAAAATTCCTGCTCTCAGTGAGCTTGTGATCTAATTAACTATAAATACTCCAAAACAATAATTATTATAGAACAGCATGTAATGCATTAAATTGCGAGTCAAGCAATGCTATTAAGCAAAGGACATGGAATTATGTAATTTACCAAGGATTATACAAGGTAGAATGAGCTTTGAAGAGGGCTTCACTGAGGAAATGACATTTGATTTGGTCCTTGAAGGAGGACTGAGATTTTACCAGACATAGGAAGTTGAGAGGGTTCTGCAGGCAGAGAGAACAGTGTGTATAGCAGCACAGTTACATAAACGGTTCAGGAAAATAAAGTATTGTCTTCCTGGAGCTTGGGGTCTGTGGAGATGCGGCGGACAATGAGAATGGAGATTCTAGCAGGGGCTTCAGTTAATGTCATATATCCTGTGGGCAATAGGGAGCCACTGGAAATTTCTAATCTGGGAGTGGGATTATAGTAGGGGTGATGTCACATGATGAGATTGATGAGATTTTCCCTATAGAAAAATCACTATGGAGACAGTGATCGGATGGCTAACTTAGAGGGAAGTAATACTGGACTAGAGAAAAACAGGAGTGTGTTATAGTCATTCTGGTATGCATTGATAAAGCAGTGAACTAGGACAGATATATTGAGGACAGAGAAGAGGCGGTGGGTTGGGGGGATGTTTCAGAACAGGAGTCAGTAAAATTCAGTGAGTGAGTGGTTGTCAAGTGTAAGTGAGAAGGAGATGGAGAGATTAACTCTGAGGATAATGATAATACCATCATGTAGCATTTGTAATATGCTTTTAACTTTTTTTTTAACTTTTTAATATCTAACATCTATGATCTCATAACCATTCCATGAGGTAGGTTAAGGAATATATTTTCCCCTGTATAACAGATGCAGTCCAGAGAGGTTAAGTGATTCACTCAGAGTTCCATAGCTCATTAATGGCAGAACCCAGACTAGAATCCTGACTTCCTGATGCCTGAGCATGTTTTTTCCCAGTCTGTAATGATGTTGCAGTGTGAAAGTGTTTGACCTGCTGTTCACACTTAACCAGAAACAGTTACTATGCACATTACTAGTGGAGAAAACGAGGAGAAAGAGAAGGTGCCCAGTGAGATGGGGATCAACTACTTTTGAGTCAATTGGGACTTCAGTAATAATAATATGTTCAATAACAATGATAAAAATAGTTAATGTTTATTGAGAGCTTGCTATGTCCCAGCCACAGTTCTCAGCATTTTAGATAAATTAGCTGATTTAACAACCTACAAGGGTCAGTCCTATAATTGTTCCTGTTATAGATATGGAAACTGAGGCAGAAAGTTGTCCAAGGTCATATAGTTAGTAAGGGTCAGAACCTAGCTATTTGAACCTAGACAATCTGAACTTGCAATGTCTTTTCCTTTCTCTGCTTAGCAACAATCTTACCTTCTTCCTATTCCTCTTCCAAGAACTCCATGAACCCACCAGGCTCTCATCAGAAAGATCATTAATCTAGGTATCAGGAGAATTGTATTCCGACCCCAATCCTGTTACTAATTGTTGATCTTGATAAATATTATTGCCTCTTTAATTTTTTTGTCATCTGCAAATGACAGTTAATAATATTCACAGCAATATCTGCTCTACTTATCTCATTAAATTATTTTGAGGATGATAGGAGAGAATACGTGCTCAAGAATAAAATAAGTTGTAATGTTTGTGAAGTGCTTTACCAACATAAGAACTAAGAAGGTAGAACTTTACAAAATAATGTTGCCTGTATACATGTCTTTCTCTCCACCTTTGAGGTGAACTCTTTGAGGGAAAGGAACAAGTATGCTTCCCTCACCACTACATCCCTACTGATGAGCACAGTACCTGCTATATGGTAGGCAAGTGATAAATATATATTCAGTGGATGCTATCTGTATGAATGCTTGAATGCACAATTGAAGGAGCAGCCTCAGGATGCACTATTTAGGAAGCAAGTAGGCACTTCAATTCCTGGCATCTTAGCCACAGATAATCTGGACACCATCATGACAACTAAAATTTATTGAACTCTAAGTATAGGCAGACATTGTTCTATGTGCTTTATTTACATAGATTGAATAATATATGTTCTCGTAACCAATCTGTGAAGTCACATTCAACACTTTTGCCAGCTCTCACTTGTATTTTCAAGATTGGAAGCTACATTTTCTACAGTTGTTTGTCAGTAAAGTTCAGTTTTGGATTCCACCCATGAGAGGTACTTGCAGAAAACTTGGCAAGCAGAAGAGAAGTGGACACTATCATTGCTCTTCCTGACATCTTGTTTAGGTGTGTGGGCTTGATCAGAAAAGATTTTAGTGACTTCTGAGCATTCTCCTGTGAAACATCTGCTTCAGTGACATCATTAGCAGTTTCCTAACAATCTCTAAAATTTCCCATGATTCCTGCAATTCCTACAACTGTCTGATTTTGCTGGCAATGTTCCCTTATCTTTTCTTTCATAGCCCTTCCAAAGGCTTTGTAGGACCCTAATACCCTGTGTTAAATACCTTCCTGAAATAGCTATAGAGTAGCTTCTGTTTGCCTGAACAAACTCAGAGTGCTACACTTTACAGGTGCAGAGACCAAAGCAGAGGGTGACTTGAGTGAAGAAGTGGCAGAAGAAAGGACGGAATCTAACAAGTTTTGCCCCAGGGCCTGTGCTCTAAATAGCTGTGCTCCACTGCCTCTCTTCAACTGAAAACCCAAATCCTATGAATGGGGCACTATGTCTTTTTCTGAAATCTCCATGAATATTTCAATGAAAACGATCATTTGGAGCCTGCTTTTCAGTTTGTAAAGTTTCTTCTCAATTTTTGACAGAACCATCTCAGTTTCAACACAGTCTTTCCATCTTAATTTCCAGGGTGAAGCAAGGTAAGCTTCACTACTCAAGCATTTGGGATGGAAAGTACGGAGGAGCCCAGTGGAAGGTTTCATGGGATCTCTGTGGTTGATCAGGCAGAGAAGTATTGTCAACCTGAGGAGTTTTCAAAAGCCCAGTATCGATTTCATTTCACAACACCCTAACAGAGTTCATTTTTATCTTGAAAATAAATTAATCTCAGTGTAAAATTAGATAGCCTCTAGAGTTAGTGCCTAGAAACTGAATGTTAGTGCTGGAAGGGCCCGAGCTGTGTTAACTAGCTGCTGTGTTTGCCTTCTTTTACAGTCAAAGCTAACATTCAAATTCAGAGAGATAAATCTATATATATTGATCTGGAGGAATGTTCATGATATATGGTCAAATGGAAAAAGCAGGTTGCAGAGTACATTGATGACATGCTTGCATTTTTTAAAGAAAATAAGAGAAAGCCCTATATAAAATATCACCTAGATGCAGAATGTTAGAACTAGAGAGAGGTCCTTAGGTAACTAAACACAATCTTCCTGTTATATTGATGAGCAAGTTTGAAGGCCAGGGTGAGATATAACTAAGATCATGCAGTTAGTTAGTAGCAGAATCAATTGTACTACCTCCATCTCCACACTCCACTGTGTCACTCTGTCTGTAGGCTGTGCCCATACCAACAAGTCAATAAAGGGAGAAAGGACCTAGTGACGTAGCTATAGCATTTTGTAGTAGAGGAACCATGAGTGAAAATGTGCATCTCATTTTAAGCTGTAAACCAACCTGTAATAAGGGAATGTTTTTCTCTCCAAAGGTAGAATCATGAAAACCTATGCTCTTAATATCCCACCTAATTTCTAAATTTTCCTCTATGCGAAGGCACTTTTTTCTTTTAATATTTCATTGATTGTGCCAGTTTATGTCTATTTCACAATGTTTGCTTGAAAGGTTTATCTTGATAGTAGGGAACATTTTGCACAAAGCATGAGTCTTATCCTAATACCTAGCACAGTGCCTGCCTGAAAGTAGAAAAGTAATGTTTGCTCAATGGATAAAGATTGAATTCAGTTGCCTTTTTCTGAATTTTTTTCTTTCTTGATATTCAAACATTATTTCAGAGACGAAGAGTATCATGTACCTTTAACAACATATACGATTTGAATAAATGTTGCATTTATTTTGAAATTAAGCTGTTTTGATAAGTGGTTTATTCATCCTCAATTGTTTTTCATTTAGTTAGTAAGCATGTGCGACAGTCTCCTTGTATCTGTAGCACTCCCTTTGCAAAATCATACAATGTCACAGCAGTCCCCAGCAGTCATGGTAAGAGGAATACACTGAATATCTGCTTGCTCAGTAGTTCTAGGTACTGTGCATTGCATTTCTTCTACCTGTTTGTGTCTGGTTCATCACAAACAGGTAGAAAAGGCTGCTTGGGAGATGACTTCAGCATGTGTGGTGGAGGCCCAAAGAAAAGTGAGACCAGGAGACAGGGTATCTGGGTCTTCATCCTAGATCTGCTTTCAAACAATTTCGTGATCTTGGGAAATTTACTCCACATTCACTGAGCCTCAGATTTCTCATCTAAAATCAGTTGTCTGTAATAGATCATTGTTTATCAGAACCTTTCCTTATAGTTTTAGAACTCCCTTTTCAGATGAAGTAGCTCACAGGAAACAGCCTCCACATTAGCAGGCTCCAGGCACCACAACTGAACCCCTAAAAATATATAAATCGAGATTTGAAAAATACTGCATTATGCCCATCAACAGAAAATGGGTTTTTAAGATGTGATAAATGTGCACAATGAAATATTATTCAGCAATAAAAAGGAACAGATTACTAATACATGCAACAGCATAGAAAAATCTCAAAAGCAGCTGAGTGAGAGAATCCAGACACAAAAGAGTACAGACTGCATGATTCCATTCATAGTCAATATTAAAAAAATAAAAACTAACATATAGTGAAAGAAATCAGATCACTGGTTGCCAGGAATTGGGGGTAGAGGGAGGAAGGGAGGGGTTACAAAAGGGCAAAAGGAAACTTTTGTAGGTGACGAATTTGTTAGGTAGCTTGCTTGTCATGGTGATTCTGTGAGCATCTATCAAAACTCATAGAATTACAAACTGTAATTGGACACGATGTATTGTATACAAATTATATCATGATAAAGTTGATTAAAATAATACATTAATCATCTCTAGGGTTCCTTATAACCTTCAAACATAGTGAGATCTGGAATCAACCTGTCGTAGATTTAAGTACTGATTCTGTGGCCATGGGCAAAGCACATAACCTCTATGAGTCTCAGTTTCCCCATTTCTAAATATAGATTGCAAATAGTGGGCTGGGCATGATGGCTTACGCTTGTAATTCCAGCACTTTGGGAGGCCGAGGAGGGTGTATCATGACATCAGGAGATTGAGACCATTCTGGCTAACACAGTGAAATTCTGTCTCTACTAAAAATACAAAAAAATTAGCCATGCATGATGGTGGGTGCCTGTAGTCCCAGCTATGTGGGAGGCTGAGGCAGGATAATCGCTCGAATCTGGGAGGTGGAGGTGCAGTGAGCTGAGATTGTGCAATTACAAGACAGAGCTCAGCAAGACTCCGTCTAAAAAAAAAGAAGAAAGAAAGAAAGAAAGAAAGAAAGAAAGAAAATAGTATCATGGCAATGAACCACTGTGAGAATTCTATGTGATGACAGATACAGAGAGCTTCACTCAGCACCTAGCATATCATAAGTTCTTGATAAATGGTACCTGCATTTATAATTCTATGATTCCAAATTATTTTACAGACTTAGTTTCAAAAATTCTAATTTTGACTCCACTATCAATTATGTATGACTTTAGATGAGTCTCAATGTCTACTCTGTTTCCTCATCGTTAATACAGGGGGAAATTGCGGTGGTGTTCTTACCAACTCCATAGGAAAATTAGGAATATAAAATAGATTAATAGAAAGATGTTTTGAAAAAAAAGCAAGTATAAAACACTACACAAATGTAGGAAATAGCTATGGTAATTTTCCTCAGGATTCCAAGGTTAAGTGGAACAAGGAGATTGTGCTTAACATAGGAGGGCTTGCCCTCAGTAAAGTTGTAAAGATTCTGACAATGGTCTTCTGGCCTTTTGTTACACCATTCTTTGTCTCGTTTTCCAATTTCAGTTATGCTTTGCCTGCTGTCAACAGTTATAGAAGATTCTCTTGCTGTATAGGTCTCTTCTGTCAGTGAGAAAATTCCTCTGATAAGTTCATTTACCCAAAGATGAGTAACCTAATAGGTAGCAACTAATAATATTCTATGCAAAGGAGAGCAAAAATAATACCTCTAACGGCAAATCAAGTCTCAGTAGGAATAATATTTGTGGTGGGAGCACTTCCTGAAGCTTCTCATATGACTTCCAAAGATCAAGTCAGATCCTTTAAAACCATTTTCTACATCAGGGAAGATGTGTTATTTGAGACATTTAAAAGAGAACAAGGCTCATGTCCTTTTCAACATAACTTTCCTTATTGCCCCTTTAACATCTTTGTTTCTCAGACTATATATCAGGGGGTTCAGCATGGGTGTCAAAGCTCCATAAAACACTGAGATAAACTTGTCCTGGTCAGGGGAGGACTTGGACTGAGGTTTCATATACATGGAGATGGCTGCCCCATAGAAGATTGTCACCACCATCAAGTGAGAGCCGCACGTGGTAAAGGCCTTGAGCTTACCCTGGGCTGAGTGAATCCTTATGACAGCCATAGCAATCTGTATATAGGAGAGGAGAACAAATCCAAATGGCAGCAGCAGGGTGAATATACCGGCGATGAAGATCATAAGTTCATTGAGGCTGGTATCAGAACAGGCCAACTTAACGAGGGAGAGAATCTCACAGACAAAATGGTTGATGACATTAGCCCCACAGAAGCGAAGCCTCAGGGATAGGATGAGTATGGCAGTGAGCACAAGTGATGTCCCCCATGAGGTAGCAGCCAAGCAGACACACACTGGGCCATTCATAACCACTGAATAATGCAGGGGATTGCTGATAGCAACCACACGGTCATAGGCCATGACAGCCAGTAGGAGGCACTCTGCTGTGGCCAAGGCCAAGGACACACTCATTTGAGCAAAACATCTGGGATAAGAGAGGTAGGGATGGGTAGAGAAACAATGCACCAAAGCCTGGGGCATGGAAGCTGTTCCATAACAAAGGTCTAAGAAAGACAGGTTACTAAGGAAGAAGTACATTGGAGTGTGGAGGTTGGGGTCAAAGTGAATAAGAAAGATCATAAGTCCATTCCCCAACAATGTGCTGACGTAAATTATCAGCACCAATGTGAAAAACGTGCCTTTCCATTGAGGATAGTTAGAGATGCCGATAAGGAGAAACTGAAACACTGCTGTGACATTGTTCACGGCCATCTTTCCCTCTTGCCACTATTCATTAAATGGATGCCAATTGGCTACTTAATGTTACCTGAAAGAATGAGAATAAGATGGATGGTGTGAGAAAGGTGGAAAGAATTATGTTGTGCAGAATCATTATTGTTGTCTTTTCAGAAGACATGGTACACAGATGGAATAGATATCTATAATGTGAACAGAGGCAAAGTTAATATCCCCTCCTCAATCCCAAGAAAATGGAAAGTTCCTTATCCTTTTTAAAAATAGTTATATGAAAAGTTCTCCAGCCCTCCTCCACCAGATGTCTTCTTAAATAATTTTTCCTAACTAAGAAGACAGGAAAGGGAGGCCATCTTCCTGACTTTCTCACTTCATTTTCCAAGATAGATCTTATATATAGATGTGGTTGAATCTCGGTTAGCTTGAGTTACTAATCTCCACCAACAGTGCACCTTCTGACAAATGTCTTAGCTAAAATATTGTCTGTGTTTGGAGTGTCTCTTATTCCTAGATTGTGCTTGCCTCCATTTTCCCATAGTTCCAGAATCTACCACTCAAATGTGAATTTAATGAGAACAGGCCCCTTGTCTGCTGTTTACTGATGTATTCCTAGAACCTAGAACAGTACCTGGGGGATCACGAGAACCTCATAGATAGTAAATTAACATATAAATTCCTAAGCATTCAGAGCTATTATCCAGAATCTACCTACTCCTCTTGCCACCTGCACTGCCATCCCCTATTCCAAGGCATCATCATCACTCACCTGGATTTTTCCGGTAACCTCCTCATTGGTTTTCCTGTTTCTGGCCTTCTTCCCATTCAGTTCAAATAATTCAGTTAAACTGTAAGTGAGATCAGGTCACTTTTCCATTAAAAATTTATTCTATTTTCATTGAAGTATGACTGACATACAGAAAGGTACACATATTTTGTGTATATATCTTGCATTTGAAGACAAGTATATACTCATGAAACAGCCACCATAAATAATGCCATAAATCTAATGAACATCCCTAAAAGCATCCTCCTTCTCTCTTTTATCTTTGTAATACAGACACCTAACATAAGGCTTACTCTTTATTAAAATTTAGGTACATAGTTTCATATTGTTAACTATAGATTCTTATTTCAACCTCACTAAACACCAGTTTCCTTACTATGACCTACAAGGCCCTATATGGTTTACCACACAATCACCTCTCTGAACGAACTTCCTACCACCCTTCACTTGCTCACTTTGCTCTAGTCACACTGGCCTCCTCACCATTCCTCAAACACTCAAATGCCCATCCCTTTCCCAGAGCCTTTGACCCTGCTGCTCTGTATTTATGAAAAACTTGTTGTTCCATATTTATGAAACCCAAATTCTTGCATAGCGCACCTTCTCTCTTCCCCCAGGTCTTTACTCACAAGGCATATTTTCAGTGCATCCTTCCTGGGTCACCTCGTCTAGGAGTTGATCTCTGGCCCTTGAAATTGTATTACACTCTTTCTGGGTCACCTCATCTGGGAGTTCATTTCTAGCCATTGAAATTTTATATTCCCCTTTCCTGCATTATTTTCTCCTTAGAACTGCATCTAGCATACTGTATAGATTATCTGTTAATTATGTTTATTGATCGTCTCTATCAACTAGAATGTACGCTCGATAATGTCAGGAAGTTTTTCTGTTTTCTTCACTGCTATGTGCCCAAAATGTAGAATGGTGCCTAGATAGAAGCTCAATAATTATTTGCTGAAGGAATGTATGAATGGAGTTCTGTAGCTGTTCCTTATTGAAAGTAACCTCTCTTTTTCCATCCATCTCTTCCCTTCACATTACTGTTCCTATGCTAAGCACCCCTTAATGTATATGTATTTCTCCATGAAACTAACTCACATTTCTAATCTCCTCCTTGAAGCTTCTGCTACTCACTGGCTATGTATCTAGACGAGTTTCTTTCCCCTTACTTGCCTGAATTTTTATTTCCAATCTTGTTAAACTAAATTATCTCTAAGGTCCCTTCTAGTTTAACATGCAAGGATTCTCTGATTTCCTTCAGATAAAGAAAAAAAAGAACTTACTCCTCAGAGTATTGAAATCTGTTACACTTTCTCCTTTGTTGGAGAGATATGTAGGCTAGAGGAGGGGTTTTCTAAGAAATGAAGTATCCCTAATCATCTCTGAAATGGGAAACTCACTTAAAGTCTTTTTTGAAAGGAGGTCTCACTCTGTTGCCCAGGTTGGAGTATAGTGGTGTGTTTTTTGCTCACTGCAACCTCCACATCCTGGGTTCAAGCAGTTCTCCTGCCTCAGCCTCCCAAGTAACTGGGATTACAGGTGCATGCCAACATGTCCGGCTAATTTTGTATTTTTAGTAGAGATGGAATTTCACCATGTTGGCTAGGTTGGTCTTGAATTCCTGACTTCAGGTGATCCATCTGCCTCGGCCTCCCAAAGAGCTGGGATTACAGGCATGAGCCACTGCTCCTGGTTCTTAAAAGTCTTTAAGAAAGAAAATTTCATAATGTTTCCTTTCCATGTCTTGGCCTTCTGGTAAGCTATCCCTATGTCACGTTGTCTACGTTTTTCAGCTTATCAGATAGGCTAGGTATGCAATGAAGGTAAATCCATATATCCAGCAAAGTGTTTGCTATTTGTGAAGAGGCAAACAAATGTAAGGGATGGAGAGGATGATGACTTGGCTTCATAGGATTGTCCTCAAAGCTTGAGAGACCTAGTGCTGCTGCTGTCTTCATTTATCATAAGACTCCAAGAAAGATATTTTGCCTTGGCCTGCCTCCATCTTTCCAAGTGAAAATTGAGAAAATCATCTCTACAGAGTGAGAATATACAAATACATGAGTCAAATGGCTACATGAAACAATGCCCTGAAGCCTGTTATATTTTAAGTTAGTATATTTTAATTTTTTGAATTAATTCCATCTATATTTACTACATTAGCTCCCAATTTTCTACATATGGGTCATTCACAGTGAAATATTTAATGAGACAATGAGCTGGCCACAGATGGGAGGATGAACTGGTTTTGCACTGAAGTAGATGGCTGATTATTGTGCCATTTAAAACTTTGTGTTGCTCCTAGAACTCTATAAAACTCACCGCTTTTACTGTTAAATATTAAATATTGATAAATAGATCTTTTTCCTTTTTATATGAATCTATCATTCCCAGTGAGCCACAGGATGTATTTTTTTCTCCAGTATTGAAGGAGGATTTATAATGTGTCTATCCCTCAATCCCTCATGAGCCCAGTAGAATAAATTGATGAGCCATTTGACTACAAATTGGTGATCAGTCCATGGCTGTGAGACAGACTTGTTTTTTAAATGGAGTTAAGCTTGCTGATAGAGATTGGGATTGAACTCATGACCTTGCACCCATTAGTACCATGTTTGGACCCACAGAACTAAAATTGATGACAATTTTCCTCTCACACTTAAAGGCTACTCAGCATCTCAATTGAGGGGTCATTTTTCATTTAGTCTAAGCCCTGCCCTCCAAAGGCAGTGCTGATTGTCTCATCCTAGAATTATCCTAGAATTACCATCATCCTAGAATTACTATTAAAAAATTCCTGGCAAACAGCCCAGCATGTTTCCCATCTTAGTCCTGTAACCTGCAAGTATTTATTTATACAGCATAACTTTCCTATTTAACTAATGGCTGCTCTTGTCTTCCTGGAGATTGTCCATCCAGATGTATGGTTAAAGTATCCAAGAAAGGAGGTGAAGGAGAAAAGAAAATAAATTTAAAACCGTGTTCTGTTACTCGCTCACCAATGGAGGGCCATCAGTAGATGGAACAGAATGGGCTGCCCAAAAGAACAATTCTCCAAGAGTTGCCAGGTTTAGCACTGTGACGATATCCCTGCAAACTCTCCTGGCAATATTTCCAAAGCCTTTCCCAGCTTCTCAACTCAAAATGCCTGGAACCCCTGAGAAAGAGAATTCTTTTAGATTAGGTCAAATCTCAATCGACAAACCCTTTGATCTGCAGCCCTTGGTAATGGTATCTAATAAATTATTTAGTGTCTTAAACAAAGCTTTCTTTCAATGGTATTTGACCCACATACAACCTTATTCAATCTTTCCCTAGAAAAGTTATGACATACAGAGGATTGAGGTCATTTGAATGCTCGGCATCAAGACCCATAGGTTGATTTTCAATTTGCAACTGCTCGTTTAGACATCCATTGCCTCTTGGCAATATTTATCTATGTATTATCTCCATGAAATGGAACACAACTAAACCAAATTGTCACTTTCTTAAAAAAAGAAAACATAACAGAAC